CTCCCCTGCCTCCCGACCCACACCCTGACCCCGGCCCCACCCTTTGCCCCACACTCTGCCCCACCTGAGGACATGCCTTTAATCTATCATCCCAGACTGCAGCCACTACGCCTACGACAAATCTAAAGAAGGCTCGCTAGAGCACATCGGACAACGAATCAAACTAGAAGGAAACAAGTGACTACCAGTACACTAGTTGAATGCTTTAACTATTGTGAACTAAAGTAACATCAATTTAGCTAACACCAAAAGGGAAACAGTAGAACGGGAGGTACCAATTCCCGAGAACCAAACCTGTGTTGATTTGCAGTACTCAATGTACTTGCAAGCTCACGTACCGCTTCCCACCGCCCTTTGCTGACGCTCGTCCAGGTTGCTCTCCTTTGCTAGTGCTCGTGCGCCCAACTTGCCTCCAACAACTTCGAGAATTTCCCTGAAAACACAGAAAATACCACAACCCAAAAACCAAAAAGGGCCGTCACCGCTACCACTGGTGTAGCCCCGAAAGTAACTAATAGAGAATGGGTTAGTATTCTTCGGACCAATAATGGTCAGATCTGGCTTTTATCGTGGAGACCAAACATGAGAAGGAAACGATGGACCTAGATCAGCGAGCTCCACAGGTCACTTGAAAACGAGATCTAATTGAGCAAAGCTTTTCAGCAAATTTAAACCCAGAAGATGAAAAACCAAGGGCGTAGCTCAATTGAGTGGTGTTTGGAAAATAGATCAACAGTAGCAAGAGCCAAGAATAATAGTTTTATGTGGAAAATGCCAAAATAGATTAGCTAAACTGCAGAAATGTTAGCTTGCTGGAATGACCCAGGTATTCTACTGAGGCAGAAGCATTGGTGGAGGTTGATCCTAGCATGTATTTGGTGGACAATTTGGTTGGAGAGAAATTCAAGGTGCTTTGAAGATAGAGCTAACACTGAACAGAAGATCAAGACGAATTGTATATTTTTGTTTCACTTTTGGTGTAAAGAAGCTCTGGTAGAGGATGTAGAGTCTATAGTGGATATTATTGGGTCTTTGTAACTACCACAAGTCTGGGTTTGCGTTTTTGCTCTTTTTCGAGGGTCTTGTAACTATCTTTAACATTTAGCATAATCTTTATGCTAAAGGTTTTTCTACTTAATTTATAAAATTTGTTACCTTCTCAAAAAAAAAAAATGTTGTACAACCATACAAATATCTATTGCTTGTTTTAGACCACAAGTTTCAAAAGTCTTTTTTTCTTTCTTAAACTACGTGTCCAGTCAAACATCCGCCACATAAATTGGGACGGATGGAGTACTCTCCATTGCAATTAAACTTTACGGCATTATCGCAGAATCTAGAATTATCTAAACAAACTGATGATGGAAGTCAAAATTGTAAACAAAAGCAGAAAAAAGTAGCTTTATCACATGGTATGCAATGTTGGGAGTAACTCTTACTACTGGCGACTTAAGAAGGGGAGGTCGCATTGTTGTTAGTTTGTGTTGATTGTGCAAAAGCGAAGGGGAAGAAGTGAATCGCCTCCTAATGCATTGCAGCTTTGCCTCGGAATTATAGTCATTATCTTCTCTGCCTTCAACTTCTAGTTGGTGTTCCCAAAGGAACTGTGGTTGAGAAAATGGAATGTTGTAATGAATCAGCCGGATGCAGAACGAAGAAAGACTTGAAAATTGCAACTTTATGTCCTTTTGGCTAATATGGAGAGAGGAACAAAATAACTTTTAAAGAAGCGGAGAGTTCAACTCAAGATGTTAAAAATTCTCTTTTATTTCATTTGATTTTTTGGTGTAGAGAGGAAATACCATGTTGTACTGATAGTAGGAAGGTTTTTTTTGGATTATAACATTTTCGTGTTTAAGAGCGTTGTACTTTTAAGTTTTATCACCATCTTGGTGCATATCAATAAATTTATTTGACTTATGAAAAGAAGATATTTGCTTAAAAAGTAAAATCGTTAAGTATTGCAGTTCTCGGTTGAAGGAAAAAATGAGTTTATTCTTTTAGCATTTACGGTTCATATAGCTGAGATTTGGTAAGGAACGATATTTACTATTTCTACAAGTTTGAAGGATAACAAGGGCAAAATTTTCACATGTGGGGGTGATAATGCATGGTTTTCTAAACCACATGATGGCTCTTAGCCTTCTCCACCTCCTAAGTCATCAGCTTCATATACTTGTCTAGATCTGCTGTTTTTTTTATTTTTTTGGATAGCGGAGTATGAATTTCTGTCACATATATGGAAGTGTATTGTCCCTGTTTTCTCTTATTTTGTGGATAGCGGAGTATGAATTTCTGTTACATGTGTGGAAGTGTATTCTGTATTGTCCCTGTTCTCTCTTATCCTCGATGTGGTCCGGCATTTGAATTATCTGTTGAGTTCTCTCGAAGTATCACTTCATTTCTATGAAAATGAGATTTCATTACTCGTTAGTACCAAAAGAAAGATTAAAACAAGGGATGATTGATTTTGTTGAAGTTTTACTGTACTGATAAATAAATGATTGATTTTGTTGAATTTGAAGTGTTAAAATATGGCCTACAGAGTGTATACATTGCATCTTCTTGATGCCAGTAATGAAACAACTTATCTCATTAAAAAAATGTGGTGTACAGACTTTTGAAAAATTTCCGGATGCATTTGGCCAATAGCTGAGTACTTTGTTGGAAAATATGAATGCTGAGGATGTAGAAATCTTCTTTTATTCACGACTAAAAACTTTGATGTGCAATTCTGAACCAAAGTTTTTCTGCAATTTTAAAACGAAGTATGCTTTCTTCTTATTCCAGATGACCTGCATCAGATTATTAGAGACCCTTCCTGTGGTTTTCAGAAGGCTTTGCAATGATCCAACTACAGTGCTTAATAATGCAGTGACACAATGTCTTCGTAATCTGATAGATTGGGGGCATTCACCACTTGCAGTAGTGGTAAGATATTGGAAAGATGCGTTAATTTCATTGCTGATTCTAATTAAAGCATCATGCAGTGGTGTCCCTGCCTCATTAGTTGCAGATATTGAGAAAATTATTTTATGTGGTGAGTTTGTTACTCTGTTTGTAAAGTTATCCTGGGGGTTCTTGTCTGTTGTGCCATTATGATAATGAGTTTCTTAGATAAAATTCCTTTTACCACGTTGCTGGATTGCAGATAATATTCCAATGAGTGAGTTGACCAGACAAGCTGCTCGGCTTTCTGTTTCACTTGTGGATGGGAGTTCCACTGACTTGACAAAAGCTAGTGTTGTTTCCAAATGTTTGTCTGATGTAGAATCTGTGCTTGCTGACAAATCTTTATTTGAAACAGCGAAGCCTTTTAGTGGGGAGGTTAAAAAAGTGCATGTTCTGGACTTGAAAACATTAGTTGGTGAGGAAAGAGTTAATTTGGTAGTTCATTCAGGTGATAAAAGAGAAACAGATATTTCTGCCAGTGCAGATATTAATTCTTGTGTCAGCTTTAATCCTAAACCTGTTGGCCATATTGCTGGAAGAGGTTTGTATTCTGATCCTGTGAAAGGAATTGACTCCAAGAAGATTTCTCAGCCAGTAGATCTTTGTTTGGATCTGGATATACCACTTGAATTAGATGCACTGCAGGCGGGGAAGGAATCTTCTCTCGTCAAATCAAAAGCTGTAGAGCCTAAGAGCAAGGAAACTGATATCAAGTGCCGTTTGAATTGTACAAATTTGATTTCAAAAGAAGATAGTTCTGTCGCCTCTCAGCTTTATTCTGCTCTAGGGAGCTCATCTGATGGAGGTGTGAGTATCAAAGAAAATGATGGGGAAGGTGATCGGGTTATGAAAACTAATAATACAGTCCTGAAAGAGATTGTAAGTGAAAACAAAAGTGATCGGGAGTTAGCTTTCCTCACTTCAGCTAGGCGTCAACAATCATTCTCCATAAAAGCAAGTCTCTCTGGTCCAAAACGGAAAGTCATTCAACTCAGCTTACCAGTTGAAAATAGGTCTAACGTTTTGAGATTGGATGATGGAGTGAAAAGATTTAAAGCTGTGAGGCTTGATGACTGGTATAGACCTATTTTAGAGTTCGATTACTTCTTAACAGTTGGATTAAAAACTGCAGGTGAAGGAAAGAATGATAGTTTGACTAAATTAAAGCAGGTTCCTGTTTGTTTCCAATCTGCTGACGAATATGTTGAAATTTTTCGACCACTTGTACTGGAGGAGTTCAAAGCACAACTGCAGAGTTCCTTTCAGGAGATAACTTCTCTAGAAGAGATGTCTTGTGGTAGTCTGTCTGTTATGTCAGTTGAAAGAATTGATGATTTTCACTTCATTCGCTGTGTTCACGAGGATGTTGATTCAGCTGGTTCTAAAAGCTGCTCCGAAAATGATCTTTTTTTGCTTACAAGACAACCCCTGAGGAATTCTTCTCATGATATTCACATGGTTGGAAAGGTGAACCGTTTTCTTATTTGCATAGGCTTCTTTAGTTGAACTTCATTACGTTATGACCAGTTATTGGTGGATATTTACATTAAATTGGTTGCTGTTGGTATGGCACTTGTTGATTTTTTTTTTCAGTGCATAAACTCAGTATATGTTTTCTGTCTTTAGGACATTGGGGGGCCGGGGGGTATTATTGATCACTATTAATGAGTGCATTAGCTCCTTTTAAATCCTACCTCCCCCTTGTTCGACTTTTCATTGAAAACCGTGTACCATCAATTAGACATTTAGATGTGAATGTCTGGGTGCTGTGGTATTGAAGCATCCTGACTGTTTGCAGGTGGAAAAGCGTGAAAAAGATTGTAAAAAGAGATCAAGTATCCTACTCATCAGGGTGTACTTGCAAAATAGACCTCATCTGATCCGAGCTCGAAAGCTTCTCGTAGAGCGCAGCAAATGGTGCATTAGTCGTCTAATGACCATAACTTCTCAAGTACGAGAATTTCAAGCATTGTCGGCTATTAGGGGAATTCCTTTGCTTCCTGTTATCTTGAATCCCAGCAGTTACGATCTTTGTAAACATCACAGTGAGAGTTTTTATAAACTATCTAGACCCTTGCAGCAAGTCCTCAAATCGGCATATAATGGCAGTCAACTGGAAGCTATTAGTGCTGCTATTGGACCTTTTGATCCTAAAAGGGAATTTCAGTTGTCCCTAATACAGGGTCCTCCAGGTGTGTTATTGTTATCTATTTCTTTTTATTCATTGTGCTGTGCAATTTTTTTTTCTCTGTTCATTGTTGGATAACTTCTATTAGGTACCGGGAAAACCAGAGTGATCGTAGCCATTGTCAGTGCGTTGCTTGCTTTCTCTCAAGTGGACACCAGGAGATCATCAAGTGGAGGTCCAAAGTCTACTGGAATGTCTTGCACTGCTTCAAGACAGCGGGTTTGTCAAGCTGCAGCTGTTGCTAGGGCATGGCAGGACGCAGCCTTGGCTAGACAACTTAACGAGGATTTAGAGAATGATAAACCAATGGGAAACAGCATTAAGAGAAGAATACTCATCTGTGCACAATCAAATGCTGCAGTAGATGAACTAGTTTCAAGAATAACCAGTGAAGGTCTTTATGGTAGTGATGGGATGATGTACAAGCCTTATATCGTTAGAGTAGGTAATGCAAAAACAGTTCATGCTAATTCATTGCCGTTCTTCATTGATACACTTGTTGATCACCGCATAGCTGAGGAGAAAATGAATGCAAGTGATTCAAAGAATGACGCCGACAAGGATACTTTGACATTCTTGCGGTCTAATCTTGAGAAGTTGGTTGATACTATCAGATGTTATGAAGCTAAAAGAGCTAGTTTACGGGATGGAAATTCTGATTCCAACTGTTTATTAGAAGGAGACACTGATAAAGCAGATAATGCAAAGGAATTGTCCGATGCCGAAGTCGAAGCAAAGCTGAGAATATTATATGAAAAAAAGAAATCAATATACATGGATCTCGCTTCTGCTCAGGCACGGGAGAAGAAAACTAATGAAGAAGCAAAAGCTCTTAGACATAAATTACGGAAGGCTATACTAAAAGAGGCTGAGATTGTGGTGACTACACTGAGTGGCTGTGGTGGAGATCTTTATGGGGTTTGTGCAGCATCTGTGTCCGGCCAGAGATTTAGCAGTTCATCCGAGGGTGTCCTATTTGATGCAGTTGTGATTGATGAAGCTGCTCAAGTATGGAATTGTTTTTCGTTTATTTCTTTCTTTTCCCCTGGTTTCTTTTTCTTTCTCCATTTGATGTTTATAGGATGGATTACCATTCATGTTTACCTAATAATTTGCCTTTTGCAACTTTCAGGCTCTGGAACCTGCTTCCCTCATTCCACTTCAGCTCTTAAAATCAAAGGGAACTAGATGTGTCATGGTAAGCTTTGGACGGATATAAATTGTAATGAAGGTTATTAATATTAACTGAAGAGTAATTTTGGTGTTGAAGGTGGGTGATCCAAAGCAGCTTCCAGCCACAGTTCTCTCTAATATCGCCAGCAAATTTTCCTTCCAATGTAGCATGTTTGAACGCTTGCAAAGGGCTGGTTATCCTGTTACCATGCTCACACAACAGGTAGTGTACACTCAAACTTCGTATACTAGTTTCAAAATATACCTCCAAGATTTTGGGATGACTATAGGTTGCATGAGACAGCAGCCAATTGATGTGAAATGAAAGAACTATTGCTGTGATGGTGCTTCCAATAATTTCATATTGCAGTTTTCTTGATCAACTATCTGCTGGTTAAATTGTTTGCTCTTGGTCAGCACTAACCGTTAAACATTGCATCATTTGTCTTTAATAAAGGATATGGTGTCTGTACTTTTTTCGATCCCCAAAGTGTTAACAAATGCGGTTATCTTCATGTCTACCAAATGTCAAAAATAAGGAATATATGGTGCCTGGTTGTTGTACAGTTTTTTTGGTTTTTGTTTTATCAGCACCTAGAAAATATCGGTCATCTAATGGTTTCTGTAAATGGCAGTATAGGATGCACCATGAGATATGCCGCTTTCCTTCTTTCCATTTTTATGATGGTAAGTTGGTTAATGGAGACAAGTTGTCCAGCAAAGTTGCATCATTTCATGGGACTAAGGGCCTTGGTCCCTATGTATTCTTTGATGTTGTTGATGGCAAGGAGCTCCATGATAAAAAATCTGGCACATTGTCGCTCTACAACGAGTGTGAGGCTGATGCTGCAGTTGAAGTGTTAAAATTTTTCAAGAAGAGGTACATTTCTTTTGGTTTTCTGTTCTAAAATTATACTTTCATTGTTTTTAAGCTGTACATCTTGTGCCATATTTAGGTTCCCGTCTGAGTTTGTTGGTGGAAGAATTGGTATTATAACTCCTTACCGGCGCCAGCTTTCTCTATTACGCTCACGATTTTCAAGTGCATTTGGATCTTCTATCACCGCTGACATGGAGTTCAATACAGTTGATGGTTTTCAAGGTCGAGAAGTTGATATAGTTATACTCTCCACAGTGAGGGCACTCGAGGCATGCTCGACTGCAGCACAGGTTAATGCTGGCCGTATTGGTTTTGTGGCTGATGTAAGGCGGATGAATGTTGCTTTGACTAGGGCAAAGCTTTCTTTGTGGATCATGGGGAACACAAGGACATTGCAGACGAACCAAAGCTGGGCAGCTCTAGTGAAGGATGCAAAAGAAAGAGAATTAGTGATGGCACTTAAAAGACCATATAATTCTACTTTTACCTCAGTTGATCTGGAGAAACATTTGACTTTAGAAAACCCAGAAAATTGTTCAAGGAAGTTGAAGCATGTTAAAGGGGATGAAGTCACATGTGAGCGTACGGATAGACAAAATAAGAATGTAAAGCATGTGATGGAAAGGAAAAGAAAAAACACGAGCTCTGGAGCTCCAATTGACACTCTAATATGTGCTGATCTGTCTGGAAAAAATGTTGAGGGAAAACAGAGAACTAAAGATGAAAGCAGTCTTTTGTTGAAAAAGGATCTCGATAATTATGATGGAAGAAATGCCAAGGATGTGCATATTTTGCACGGGGAAAATCAATCAGAATCAAGTGAAAGTTGTGAAAAGATCAGTAAGAAGCACCGGAAAGAGAGGAAAGCTCATGGCCTTCGCGGAAAACAATGTGAAACATTAGAGAGTGGGCATTCAAAAAAGTCAGGGGGTGATAATTATAAACGTTCAATATCAGTTGCATCTGAAAGATGTCAAGAACCTTTGGTACACGATGACAAACAGCGGGACACCAGAGGTTGGAAGAAGCCTCCTAAGGCAACTCTTATGCAGAAGGATGCGGAAGATGGAGTTGGAGCTTGTAATCAGGTTAAAAAACTTAATCATACAATATCAGAGAGGAAACAACAACGTGATGCCGTTGATGCTCTTCTGTCTTCAGCACTAATATCTTCAAACAAGTCTAGGTCCTCACTAAGATCTGTGCCTGCCAAAAGGATGAGTTCACCAAATGCTAGTGGCCCTCCAATTAGACCACCTAAACAAAATAAGGTAAAGTTACATTTTGCTCCTTCCATCCCATGACGGAAGTCCTTGTGCACTATCAACGGTTAATATGACTATCTGACGAGTTAAAGTCACTAGGCGGTGAAGTTAAATTTCGACAGAAGTTTAGATGTTCGTCAACTATGTGATAAATGCGAGCTTTTCAAACTTTGCACATTTGAAAATGTTAAAATATTTAAAAGAACCGTTATTTATAACTAATTAAGTTGGATTCTTGAATGAGTAATAGGTCATTCAGCCTAAGATGGAGGGAGTATCATTTTAATTTTTACCAACAACAACAACGATTACACCTCAATCCCAAGCTAGTAGGGCCAACTATACGAATAGTCAAATTCGTTTTACTCTATTTGGACCCATTTCATCCTAATACTAGGGTTTCTTAAAACTAAAAGTTCTTTGACATTTTTCTCTACCAAACTAATAGCTAAATAGACCAAAAGACGCTTACCAAATACCAGACCTAGATTGAGGGTACCAACAATCTAAGCTTCAATCCTAATTAGTTGATATCTCCTATTTCATTAGTCCACATGATATCTAGATTGCCGGTTTTCTGATACTACCTCTTTCCATGTGATTTAGGTCTACCTAGTTTCATTTTAATATCTTCATTCACTAGTGTCATACTTATTGATCGGTGACAACCTCGTTTTATTCTTTGTATGGTAGTTGTATCTTCTACTCAATATGTGCTACTTGTACCTTCTATCGCCTATGATCATTTTCAATCTGTCTAATCTTGTGTTACTGCAAATCCATCTTAACATTTGCTTTTCTGTGGCACTCATCTAGTTTATATGTTGGACCTTAGAGGGCTAACACTTTCTTCTATATAACATTGCTAGTCTCATAACCTTTCTATAAAGCTTGCTTTTTCACTCTGATAGGTATTTCCTATTGCATAGCACTGCCCCAGGATTCCTTCATTTTAGCCCTCTTATTCTATCCAACCATTCTACTAGAGTACGGAGCCTAGATACCAAAATCGTATATATTTAGGTATCACGATCTTGTCACTCTAGCGTGGTTCTTTTACTAAAGTGCAGATAGTACTAATTGTAAAATTATTATTCTCTAGCTTGGTTCTTCATAGTTTAATTTTGCTCGAGTCGGTAGCTGGTTTCATCACGGTATTATCTGCAACTAGCTTGTGCTATGATATCTTATCCTTATACATTGGTTAGCTTATCCATAAATAAATGAGGGCTCAAGCCAGAGCTTTGATGTAAATCTACAATCACGGAAAATTCCCATGCATCTCCTTAACTTTCTCACCCTTGTGATGGATCATTTGTGCATATACATTATGGCATAAATATTACTCCCTCCATTTCAATTTATGTGAACCCATTTGATTGGGCACGAAGTTTAAGAAAAGAGAGAAGACTTTTGAACTTGTGGTGTAAAATGAGGCACATATATTTTGTGTGGCTATAAATCATTGCATAAAGGTAAATTGTTTCCAAATAAGGTAAGGGGTCATTCTTTTTGGCACGGACCAAAAAGGAAATAGGTTCGCATAAATTGAAACGGAGGGAGTATATAAAGAATATGAGTCCTTTCTTCTCTGGTACACCCCAAAAGACATTCGTGTGATGGATCATATGTTTGCTGTAGGTGAATGAATATCAAGTGGAGATACTTTTTATTCTAAATTTCTCTTCTTTGCAAAGATGCAATTCCTGTTATAGATCTAGCAAGCATAAATCTGAATTGTTCACTATCCTCCTTGTAGTGTTATAAGTATATGCTGTATCATTCTGTACAAAGGTTTCATCATATGACGTCACAGGTTTAATAACACATTGCACGGCTTCATCGTTCTTATATCACACTCAAAGTACTCTTTCTCCACATGTTTGGCCAGTTTCCACTGCGTAATATATGGTTGAATAGCTTGGTGCCATGCTGCTCCAACCACTGCTTAAAGTTTATCTTCTGTGGATGTATGCTGATCTTTAAAGTTATCCTCCAAGATTTGAGTGGAGCAATTCGTCATAATAACATCTTCTCTCTCTGTTCTCACTTTTTTCTGTCAAAACTTGGGGAATTGTCCTTAATACACTTATCATATTTTAAATTTGGACACCTTTCTCTATCATTCGTGCTAGCTTTGTGTTTCTTTCTCCTTGTTCAATGTCCCTAACTTTTTGGTACACGTCATCTAGAGTCTTACCTAAGGCGTTGGTAGCAACCTTCTTAGGTTCTCTCTTAACTTTGTTGCACTCTTCAAAGATTTTACCATCTTTTGCTTTCCGTAACTTCCTATACCACAATAGCTCTTTGTACTTATTCCACCACCATGATTCTTGTGGTTGAGGTTCTAGGTCTTGAGGCACATCTAGAACTTTACCAATGCATTTGGTTTATTATGCTGAAGGTATTATGTTACTTTTGGCTGTTTGAGAAGTATCTTTTTTTACAGTTAAGCTGGGGACTCTATTCCTATTAAATGGAGGTTGCACTTCTTTTTAGCCTTGGGAATTTTGATACACTGATACTATCTGTGTCTTTCCAAGTATGGTAGCATTTGTTGATACTATCTCTGTGGATGTTCAACATTCAAAAGCATACCATAAACCTAGTTATTGACTAGCATTCTGACTTTCCAATATTCAATAATTATGCCCTCTGCCCAGACCCAATTTTCTGATGCAGTTGGACTGTTTGGCTGCACATATTTGCTTTGACTCACTATAGTAGGCTGTTGAATGTGTTTTTTAGTCTGTAAGCAGTAGTGTCCTTGGTTCTTTCTGCATCTAATCAAAACATTTTACTTTTATAGAACTAGCAGCAACTTCTTCTTATGGAAGGACAGTCCGATTCATCAAGGTGGTTATGAGGTGTGCATTCCAGAGTCATCAGTTGAAACATTTGAGATGTGCAGGTTAGAGTAGTTTTCCTTCTTCAGAGTTCCCAGTCAATGAAGATATAGGAGTTTCCTTTTCTGTTTTGTTTCAACAAGGTAAGGCTAAGTGTTCCCTAAGAAATCTTCAACAATTGAAGGTGTGATGTTGGAAAATTGTTCAAAATTGATCATCCTGGATGTACTTCCTTTTCATGTTTCTGCTCTTTTGAGGTAGTGTGCCCTGAAAATGGCGTTTGGTGGCTTTGATTGTTTTCTCTGCAGATAAAGTTCGTATATATCTGTGAATCAAATAGTTGATAGCTGCAAATTACTCCGATTCCTTGTTAGTAGTTCTTTTTGGTACATGAATGGGCTGGACTGTATTTTTTTCTACCGTCTTAAAATTTATTCTGCAGTTGGCTAGTCACTGCGAAAGATAACTCCTTTCCTGATGCCCCCCTCCTAAAAAATGACACCAATCATTTCGGTGAATGGAAATAAACTCGTTGTTGGTATGCCAAGTCATTTTCGTAGAAAAGGTTTTCTGGTATTTGGTTGGAGAGTGAAAAATATTTGTGGGGAATAATATATAATTAAATAATAATAGCAAATTGAATAGTGTTTTGGATTTTTTTTAGTATTAAAGATTGATAATAATGTCTAAGTGTGTTGAAGCAAGTTAAGTGAATCAGTGACTACCGCTATAGTGAGAGAAGTCACTTTCTGATAATCAAACATCTACAAAGACTTCTTTATGGAATATATATTTTTGAAATATCTGTCACAAAAACATATTCAGTAATATGCAAAAATTTATCTTTCCAGCAAAACATGTATGTTGGCTCTTAAGATTCTCATTTGGGTAATCTTGTCTTACCTTTTGTTGACCCTCAGTCTATCTTATTTAATCAAGTTATTCGTTTGTACCAAAACATTAACACGAATGAAAGGTAAAGTTGCTTATTAAGGGAAAAAGCACAATGGGTAATCTGTTGGGAACAAAGAGAGTGGTGCAGCAGCAAAGCGTTCGAGGAACAAAATGGTGCCTTCAAGTTGAGTCGCAATATCTTACTTTGATTCTAAATTCACCCCGACTGACGTGCCAGAATAAGTATTGAGGGTGTGCTAATGAAAGTTTAAAAATGTGACTCTTGTTGGTTAAGATGCTTGTGAATCTAATTCTGAGTATGGTATAGGAAGTTCCTGTATAACTGAAGGGGGATATATGTTAAGAGTTTCTGTGAAATCTCATTCATTCTCTTGTTGCATCCCTAGTTACTTCTCTTCCTGTTTCTTCACCTAAGTAGTAAATATGGCGTTGGAATAAAAAATGTTGAGTTCAGGCAAAGTGGAGGGACAGTTGCGTAACATGGCAGTACAAAAATGTACCCGCCATTGCCTTTACTGATTAAAATAGAAGGGGAATTAAGTAGCCAATGAGAGCAGCAATGAAGCTGGGCACATGGCAGGGTGGAGTCATGAGAAGAAGTAACAATAATGTGTAGTTAAGTTACGTTCCCCAAGAATGAATCACGTTATTTCCGGATTTACGTCAACTTGGAATCCCAGTATGCAGTTATTACGCGTATTAATCTGCTGCACGTTCATCTCCATTAGCTACATCATTATTGCAGCTTTGACTTTGATCATGTGCCTAACCCAAACCAATCATTTATTAATGAGCCCCTGCTTTCTTCCAATTCTTGATTTATTTTCTCTAAGGGTCACAATTCATTGCATTTGCTCCAACGGCATGCACACAACTCCTGCATTAATACCGCCTTCCTTCCTGGATTTACCTTACTTTTTATGATGTATGTGTACATCAATATCTATGATGAGACTACACAAATCCAGCCTCTGCAATGGATTCTTTGACCACTATTTATTACTGCTAATAAATAAATTCGCCTCTTTAACAAATATTTCAGTTAGACCTGAATAGTATCAGTCTACGTAATTATAAAGTTTACTAAACGTATTTTCACATTTGCAAATAAAAATCTGGTCTCAAAGAAAAAATAAATCTTTTTGAATGATTTTAATTAGTACCATACATTGTCAAAATATGTCTAGATGGCTTAAAATATTTGAGTATATTACAATTACAAATACGTTGCACATTAATCATTTGTCGAATCATGCCTAATAATGATTGCTTCGAATGATTTTCTTAACAAATAAACGATTATTTCAGTTCAAAATACTAACTTTGGTAGTTGGGAAAAAGTCGGTTCCTTAAAATCCATATTTCAAAATATTCTTGACCTATGGAATACTAATCTCGATGACTCCGACTTCATACTACGTTGGTAGACTTCTCAGGAAGTTTAGAAGAATATGGAGAATCAAGTAAAAGGGTGCACATATATATTATATTGAATTAGAAAAAAAAAAGCGTCAGGTAATTCAATAAGAAATGAAGCAGGAAATAGTTCAAGCGAAGAATAGGGACTAATCACATGCCAAACGAAATTATGATGCCACATAGGTCATAAGCCTTTTAATTTTTCATTAAGAGTGACCACTCCAGTAGCAAATTGTGTTTTGTTTATTTTAATTTTCACCAAGGCTTAAGAGTGTCCAGTTACTTAATTAACAAGTGGACTTGTAATATTAATAAGAATACAGCACAGCAGCATTGCTTTCGTATAGCTGAAACAATTAGAATGTGGAAAGCCAGCGTAACAAAAGCATTGTAGCTGTGATGAATTGAAGGATGTGACAGTTAAGATGCAACCCTAGAATTTACGCTATTAAATAATAAATATCCTTCATTCTCTGTATAATAATAACAAATAATAACTCTCTCCTGATCACTTGATTAATGGGGATAGGACAAAAGTGAAAAGGAGAAGAGGTGTAATGTAACTTGTACGGAAGAGAGTATCCTGGGTTCTCTAAATAGTATCCAACCCTATATTTGAAAATAACTAAAAACAAGGTGGTTAGGCACCAAAAACCGATGGAGAGACTCTTTTAATTTATTTATTTGTACGTTAATTAATTAATGGGGGATTGGTTGCAAATAATGATGAAGGTACCGTACCTATAGGCAACAGGTCATCCGCATTATAGGGGGCTAGCTAGTAGAATAATTCATCCAATAATTAATTGTAAATTGCAATTGATTAACACACTAGGCTTGCTTCTCCCCCTCCTATATATATAGTAATGTGTTTTACCTGATCATCCAGCTAGCAAATTAATTAAGCTATGGATCCATCAAACAAATCTGTGTCTGCAGGCAGCTCTTCTAATAAGATCAGACAAATAGTTAGGCTTCAACAGCTCCTCAAGAAATGGAAGAAGATAGCAGCTGCCTCCCCCTCCTCCACCCACCTCCATAACAACCTCCTCAGTATAAACAACAGCACAAGCAGCAGCACCAAAAGCATCAATAAGTTCCTCAAGAAAACCCTTTCATTCTCGGAAAAGGACAGATCATCACCTGCAGAGGTATGCAGCATTAATAGCTCCGATGTAGCAGTCCCCAAAGGGTGCCTTGCAGTATCCGTTGGCAAGGAGGACAAAGAAGAAGTCAAGAGATTCGTCATCCCAATGGATTACTTGGGCCACCCATCATTTCAAGTCCTCTTGAGAGAAGCCGAAGAAGAGTTTGGTTTTCAACAACAGGGACTCCTCAAGATTCCTTGTGAAGTCTCCGTCTTCGAGAAGATTTTGAAAAACATTAACTCTAACAACAAGATCAGACAACCACCAGCACCAGCTCATGATCATGATGCCTTTTTCCAACTGCAGCAGCCTCATCATTCTTCTGATTTATCCACCATTAATAGCGTCGTCGTCGATGATAATAATATCATTCACAACGTTGGCTGCTGCTCTCCAGACAATCACCAACACCACCAGGGAATCATGCCTCCTCAATTGTGCAGTTGACCGCCTAGCGTACGTAATTCCATGCAATATTGCGCATGCAATTAACGATCGATCTAATAGTTAATGATCATCATTGTACTGCTTTTTCTTATTCATTTTTTCCTTTGCCGGCCCATGCATGGTAATTCATCTATTTTGCTACAGAAGAAGAGAAAGCGAAAGAGTGTTTAGTCCAATAAGTGTTATTCCTCCACCATCTTAATTCATCTCAAGTTACCGTCTCATGCATGTTGTAGATTCTTGCCAATCAGACATGTTTTCTTTTGTTTAATAAAGCATCACTACATCGTGCAAGCTTGGAGCATTTCTTTTCTTCTTTGTCTGTTCTCTCAAGTTATTCATACTAATTTCATCAATTAAAAGGCCCGACCCATTCATATTACTTATTAGAAGCAGGAAATTAGCACCAGGATTATTCATCTTACTAAGAGGGAGAGAGATTGACATCCTATTCTAGTTTTGGGGCATAATAGAAACTTCCAAATATAATTTGAGAGGGAGAGAGATTGACGTCATACACAAACCGCTCTTTTGCGAGCTTTCTTCTTTCATTTGTTTATTTCACTTTCCCGGCATCGAGGCTCAACTTTTGCCACCATTACATCACGAGGCCCTTCGGGTCTTTGAATATTGGCCACATTAGCAAAATAATTCCATCATAAAGTTTCACATATACATTTTTTCACTTGCTGTATAAGAAAAAATTAAATCCACCCATCAATCATGCAGTATTTGGTTCGCAATAAGCTTAATGCCACCATTATTTATGTAAAAATCAATGTATTACATTATTGGATCGAAAAAGCTATTGGGTCGGGTCTAGTCATAAGGGGTACTAATTAGCCTATTAGCTTGTCCTCCTCCAACATACTACGTATTAGTGGTGCACAAAGGAAACCGACAAATCGCACCAACCCGATAATTCGAGTCAAACCGAGAAAAAAAACCCGACTATGGTTTGGTTTGGTGTTGGAAAAAAAAAATCCGACCATAATTGGTTTGGTTTGGTTTTAACTAAAGAAAGTCAAACCGAAACCAAACCAACCAGACATTACATATATAGAAATTTTAGATATATTTAATATATAAATATACTTATTGTGATGTAATTTATAAATATTTCTTAAATTTTTTCATAATTTTATCTTTTAAGGTATTATTTCAAGGTTTGACTTAGAACTTTTGAATGCTCCAATAAGTTTTATAGTCATTAATATTAGTAAATTAAATAATGCTAACAAAAGCCCAAACCAAAATCAAATCAATACTAATGCTAACAAAAGACAATCAATTCAATATTACGAACGGGAACATATCGAATATCTATTTTTTGTTTTGCAATAATTTAGATAAAAATGTAAAACCTATCTTTATTTTTCTTTAGCGTTTAGTCATGTAATTAATACTCCCTTATTAGTCTATTTATTTTAGCATGGCTTAGTACTTTTAGATTATGTTTATTTTTATTATGGGTTTTTAATGAGCAATATTTATATTACATAATTTTATTGTTTTTATTGTTGAATATTTTAGGATAATGTCATGGCATATCTCATATTTTGTATTATTTTCTTGGAAAATACTTTATATAGTTATATCTTACTAGGATTAAAGAAATATTTTGAGCATACGTTATATGTTTTGTTCTACGAAGATTTTACCGGAGAAAACCCCCGAAAAAACCCGAGAAAAACCGAGATTGAAAAATCCGAGTTTTATTGGTTTGGTCTTTAGATTTAAAAACTCGACACAATTGGTTTGGTTTGATAATTATAAAATCCGAACCAACCCGGCCTATGTACATCCCTACTACGTATAACTCATAAATACACCATTGTACGTGTAGAGAAAGGAGATTTTGCTCACGTTTTTTGGGAAACAAATGACGACTAGGGATAGTACTTCCTTGCATCACAAGAGGATATCTAGAAAGGGAGTTCATCGTTTCGCGGTATTTGCAAATCCTCTTCCCTAAAGAGAAACCCGTAAGCAATAGAATGTAAAATAAGATTACATGTATTAACGATACATAAATAAAAGTATCTAAAGACAAATACAACAACAACAACAACTAACCCATTTTGATCCCAACATGTGAGGTCTAGGGAGGGTAGTCTGTACGCAGACCTTACCCCTACCTAATGCAGGTAGAGAGACTGTTTCCAATAGACCCTCGGCTCAAGAGAGCAAGAAGAAGAGGGAAGAAAGGAAGGAAAACAGTATCCAATAATAGCAACACGAAATACAATACCTGAAGCAAACAAAACCACATACCATAATAAAAATCAAAGAATATGAAGGGAAATACATGCTACTAAGCCTATCGGTGAACACTATAAACTACCCATATACTAACCTTTTACCTTAATCCTCGAACTCCACACCCTCCTATCAAGTGTCATGTCCTCAGTGAACTGAAACAACGACACGTCCTGTCGAATCAATTCTCCCCAGTACTTCTTAGGCCTACCTCGACCCCTCCTCAAACTCTCCATGACCAACCTCTCACACCTCCCGACAGGGGCATCAATGCTTCTTCTCTTAACATGTCCGAACCATCTCAACCGCGATTCCCGCATCTTGTCCTCCACGGAGGCTACTCCCACTCTGTCCCGGATAGCTTCATTGCTAATTCTATCTCGCCTGGTACACCCACACATCCATCTCAACATCCTCATCTCTGCTACTCTCATCTTCTGCACGTGAGAGTTCTTGACTGGTCGACACTCAGCCCCATACAACATAGCGGGTCGAACCATCACATACTTTTAAAATAAGTGTACCCCACATAATGTTCACTGTATTATTATTACCACGTAACAATCTCTACATGATGTTCAACTGCATAACTACCAACATTATAAATTATTGCACAAACAATCCCTCATCACACTTCAGGTCGCCCACATAACTAGTAAATGAAATAAAACAACGCACTTATTTTGAGAACCCAATACTTTCCTTGACTCAGTAAAACTGCAATTTCTGACGAGAAATAATCTCTAACGAGTTAACTACGATTGCAGATGAGAGTACAGCGAGCCACAATTAGGCTATAGGGAAAGGGTAAGGCATTGGAGGAGGGCAAGACGAGAGGAAGAGCACAAAGTCCAACTCCTTGGTTGTTAATGAGGCACACAGCAATCACGTACTTCAATCCGCATAAATGCGTGCTAAGAGAGTATATAATTCGTCAAATTATGGATATGATCCGATCACATCAACTATCCATTCCCAGAATCATCAGATAGCGCTCAATAAGAGAATTAATTGTATTATTTTGGTATTAAGCTACCAATGGCAGTTCCCAAAATGGCTCTGCAATTGAAACAGAATAGTAGAATATATTATAATAAAGTAGTTAAAGGAAATTATTGAATAGTTATCTGTCCACGCCCTGATAACATCGAGGCTTATAGGTTAACCATACTGCACACTAGTCATTGACCAGCTTATTCTTGATCGATGATAAGGGAATGCCGAGCCAAACAGGTAATGCTTTCTATTATTGCTTTCCCTTAATTCAATCTGATTGGGTAGATGGCTCTGTTTCCTTCATTGGATCCCTGCAGGATTTTGGCTGGTGGACACCAAATTAGCCCAGTTAGTACTGCGTCAATATCGTGAACGTATCATCTAAGGTGCTGCTGAGTGCTGACCTCCCGTATTCATTAAAAAAAAACCAACACAGTAAAAATAAGAAGAAATGGAAAAGAGGTAGTCCCAACCTCAGTGTACACCGAATGTCAAACAGAGCTTTTCGACCATCGTCCACATTTTTCAAACAGAAATGTCCTATGCGTACACAAGTAGTACATCTTAAATATACAATTCCAGTAGCGTACCTAGCAATTTGTACTGAAGCAGATGCGAAAACTGCCATCAAGTTACTACTTCTCAGTTGCTGAAGAATCTCACAATTGACAAATTCTTGGCCTACTAACCTATCTCAAATAGTCCAACAGCCAGGATATCAAAGGTCACTTTAACGGTAATCACTTTGAATACTTATCAACAAGCGCCTTCGCATTCTCTGGTGCAAAGAATCTTGCCTGTGACATCATCCCCCATGTTAGAAGATAAATGATAATCTAAATGTTAACAGGAAATCCTTAAATTTTTCAAAAACAAATTGCAGGTGCATAAATTTGGATTAAGAGATAAAATTTAACAAGTTTGCATTCTGTCATTAAAACCAATCAGGCAAGCATGCCGATATCACAGAATGATCAAATAGCTTGCAGCATTTTTGAAGGTCCCACGCAGGTGCAGACACATTTTTGGAGCATTCGAGCAACATAGGTAGAAACATAGAGGACCTATCATGACACTGCCGTTCAGGAACCTAGAAATGTCTTGTCAATGACTAAATTGTATATGGGAAAAAGAGCATAGCTAAACTAATACAAAGCAAAGACCGGTCATGGATAAGCCAAAATACGAAGCATATGGTTTTCAGAGATGGCAACAAGATCCTAACGACATGTATTTTTCCTGATTACATAGTCCCTTTGCAAATTAACTATGCAAGTTTATCCTTACCAGATTCCATAATTCACCCTCCCAAGATACAAGCCAGTCATTCTGCTCAAATATAAGACTGTATATTCACCTTAGCGTCCAAACTGAGCCGCATGCTTTACTACAAGGCCTATGCCTAGCACAAAGCTAATCTTATCAATGATCGCAGGTTCTTGATCAGGTAGCTGGATAATCCATCACTCATACATACAGGGAGCAGAATGGGATGGCAGACCAACTGGCTAAACATGGATGTAGCATGGAGTATTCAGACACAAGCAACTTTATTTATGCTCCATCGCTTTTTGTTTCAGATATGCTACAAGCTGATCAGTGAGGAGTAACTTATCTTAGATATATAGTAACTACTAGTAGTTGTACTAGTAGATTAGTAGTAGTCTAAGTTGCTCCGACATAGCAGTTTAGGTGCCGCACCCGTGTCGACACGACACTAGTATGAGTGTGGGTATGGGATCCGTACCGGATCTGGTCAAACAATTTTGGGTACTTTGACCACGACGGACGGAAAAATTCGAGACCATATAAAATTTAATTCCCAAAATCAAAACCAAAATTAGGATAAATTTGAAGAAAATAGCATACCTTATCTAGGAAATCTATCCTTTTCTTATCTACAACTTGAGAATAAAAAGGAAAGCCACACAAGCTATACATAAGTATTCCCAAAATTTCTCATAATTTAGAGATATTTTTTATATTTTTATTTTTTGAATTATTTTTAGCCGGATCCTTGCACCCGTATCCGTATCCCCGAATCTTAAAATTTACAT